GTTTCACTTCACTCAGATTTCTGCTCATATTTTCCTCCTCTAAGAGATCTTCTCACACAATCTCTTCCTTCACCCTGCTTCAATTTTCTTCATAGTGCTCCTCTCTGTCTCCCATAGTATTTATTGAATTGTTACTTAATTATATTCTGCCTCACAGCTATTGCCCTAAAAATAACTGGAATGTAAAGACAATGAGAGGATGAAGTTTACTGGTTTGTTTCTCTGCTTCTACCCACCGTGCCTACACAGCTGCCTAGGACATAGAAGGTGCTCTCAGCGAGTATGTGTTGAGTGAAGGAAGGTGAGTTGAGAGTGTCTTCTGTGCCCCTGGGCACCATTTGCTAAAATAATTTTCAGAAAGATCAATAGCAATTTTATTTTAGGAATCTGTTGATGCACTTCTGCAACTAGACCAACACAGGAGTGAGGGAGTAATTCTACAGCATGAAGCAGTGGAAGCAGCCACTGTGTCACCCTTAAAAAAAGCCAGATTGCAACATATTGTGGAGACCATATCTCCAGACCAAACCTATTCTCATTTAAGCACTGGTGATGCTTTGAATATGCTAGGTGCATAAGAAAGAAGCCCCAATGAGGCTAATACCATAGCCAATTTCTAAACCTGACTAGTTTTACGTGAAGGCAGTAATGCCTCAAATACCACTCACTCTCTAAAATGATGGAATTTTACATAGATGGAGCACACAGGTGGATTCTCCTGCCACCCTACCATATGGTAAAAAAGAGTGCCATATCTAACGTCTTGGTGGGACATTTTTCCCAAGTAAGTGTAAGTACATAGGTCATGGGTTCCAGACAACTGATTTGGATTGGTTGACATTTTTAACAAAGCAAAACCAAAGATTTTCTCCATCTATCTTCCTGCACTCAGATTCCCAGCATCTCTGGTATTGTTTTTGACCACACCATGTCCTAGATGTGTTAACAGCACATTGTCTGAGATATCTGCTCTAAGAGCTAGAGATGGGCTTGTTTTCTAAATGTGGTGACATCTTTAGCTTAATCTTGCGTGTCTTAAAAATTCATTGCACTTTATTAAAAATGGAGTCTCTCATTCCAGTGAGACACTGTGCAGGCCGTAGCTACTGAAGGAGATGCGCTTCTCCCAGGCATCAAGAACCCCCTGGCTGAGACAGAGCAGAAAATGGAACAAGGGAGGGAAACTTCAGGCATTAACTTGAGGATTTTGAATTTCAATTTCTTTGGACTCCTCATTCTAAAGAGGAAGATAATAAATACAGACTTTGATTTCTTTGGACTTCAATTTATTTTGACTTTAATATGCAAAAGGATTTAAATTTTCTACTTTAATTTCTCCTAGGGTTTTTTTTTTTTTTTTTTTTTTTTGTGAGGAGATCAGGCCCTGTGCTAACATCTGCCAATTCTCCTCTTATTTTTTGCTGAGGAAGACTGGCCCTGGGCTAACATCCGTGCTCCTCTTCCTCCACTTTATATGGGATGCCACCACAGCATGGCTTGCCAAGCAGTGCGTCCATGCGCGCCTGGGATCCTAACCGGCGAACCCTGGGCCGCCGCAGTGGAGAGTGCGCACCTAACCGCTTGCGCCACCGGGCCGGCCCCATCTCTCCTAGGGATTTTTTAATGGAGAAGATTTATATTCAAAAGTAGGGCATCTTTTATACTGTTGAAAATTTATGATTGAAGTGCTTTTATACATTTTATTATCAGGTACCCAGTGTGTCATTTAACCTCACTGCACAACCTCTGAGAGACTGTGTTGGATAATATGATGGATATAATTTGGGATTGTTAAAAGAAAAAGGAGTTATTTACCAGTCCTGAGTGTAATGTGGAGTTGATTGAATTAATGAACTATTTTCATCCATTTTGCAATCTTCTGGAGATAAAATCTAAATTGCCAGCCTTTGGTCCTGAGAGGACTCTGTGGTTGGCATTGGAGGATGACCTCCTTAGGCGCTGCTCTAGGAGACGGCTGTCAGATTTTGGTTAAAACCCATATCTTCACCATAGACAAATGGTTATGTACAATGGGTTAAGAATATAAAGATCTGGGGAATGACATGGGGAGGTTCTTTGTTTCTAATTATTAATGTCAGTTTAATGAGGAGTGTATAATAATCTTTGTCTTACTCCTTTCCTCACTCACTTCTCTCATGAGGTATGAATTACCCAGTTTTGGAGAATTCAATTGAGATTCTTGAATGAGAAGTGCATAGTTCTGTCCATTCCCTGCCCTTCTTCTTTGGCGCTAGCCGCCGGAAGAAAGTGTGTCATTCCTGTTCTGCCCATCCACGTTGTACAGTCCACAGGGCAGCTCCCACAGGTGGGACTGGTGCTGGCTGGTGGTGCTGGGAATGGGCACAGAGTCTGTCTCTTCCTGGTGTCCTCCTGTCCACAGACACACACTCCATTCTCCAGTATTAACTCTGTCAGCCATATGGTCATCTGTCATCGTAATGGCCTGAATTTGGGGGAGGAGAAAAGTACAATTGATTGAGTCCCCTCTCAAATCCTAATGCTACGAGAGTGTATTTTGTTTCCTGGCTAAAAGGGAAGTTAGGACAATTTGTCACTTCTCAGAGCATCTCACTGAGCTCAGCGGAAAAGAAAAATAACACCCATATGATTGTTATAGTCTAAAAACACTCTGTAGCTAGGAAATATAACTGTTCTCAATTTGAGGAAATGGATAACTATTTAAGAATATACTTAAGTGACTGATTAGAATAATGTGGGAATTATTTCAGCAGTGGGGGTATCTTCAACTCTGACCTCTAGCTATCAGACTTTTTTAGCTTCCTTAAGCTGCCATAGCTATGATTAGCCCATTCCACAGAATGGGTCACAGAATGTTGATTTTCCACATTTCCAGCACATTAACATCGTTAACACAAATGGACTCTTACAACACCTCCTGGTGTCATAATTGGTGAGTGCTATTTGTCAAACACTCCTGACACCTCTGGGTTCAGGAAGCAGAGGAAAGACCTTCCCAGGGAGTGGATTTGAGTTCACTCAGGCCAGGTAACTCCATCTGTATCCATACAGGGATAAAGATATTTTACAGCTTCTTCGTGCCAGCAGGAATGAAGCGATATCCTAAGCATGTTGGCATATCTATTTTGGAAAATTTTAACCTGGAGAGAAGATTATGGGAAATATTCTAGGTGGATTTGAATTTTGTGGAGAGCCCTTGTTCCAAGATGTTCCAGAAGGCAAAGTCAGAATAAATGGGTGGAAAACACAAGCTGGAATACTTTAGTTTAATGCAAAAATAACTTTCTATCAATTACAGCTGTGCTGCCGTGAAATAGGCTGCCTGCAGTAATGGTAAGCTGCCTTGGATCATCTCGTGGTAGTGTCGTCCAAAGGATTCCTGCTCAGACTTCAAAATCAGACCAAGTCCAGTTGAGCTCAGAATCCATGATTCAATGCAAGTTTTTCCCATAAGCAAAACACAAGGAAATTTGAATTCAATTTTTGGAGGAGAAAAATTTAATATATTTTATCTTATTATACATTTCCCCTAAATTACCAAGTCAATAGCTGCAAATATATTCTGCTACAAAGCTTTCTGTAAGAAATATCTCTATAAGAAAATACATCTCATTAACATTTCCTGTAAATAAATTAGTTCAAATAATAATTTTTGAAGGGATGTACATAAGGGAAATAATGCAGAAACCAGATTGTAAATGTAATTGCAATATAGGAAATGTTTGACTGAAATGTTCCATTTTCACATTGCCAAGCTTATAGAAACCTGTTTGGACAGACTTTGGTTCTTGGATAGATTAGCTTGTAATTTTTGTTTTAGCAGACATGTGGGGAAAATGTAAATCTTAATCGTCTTAGTGAATGTGTGTGGGAAGCTGAAATTCTTAATAGACATGCAGGCTCAGGTCCAGTTTCTACTGGGAGAACTTAAATTTGAGACTGCAGATGGGGTTTATGTAAAAGAAAACTAAGGAGTGACTCGCAGAATATAAAAGAAAAGGTCAAAAGTAACAACTATAAGATAACTTTTTTTGCTTTATGCTCTAGACATAACATTTAGAACTGAGTAATGTAAAAAAGTAATAAAATGGTTTCAAAGAATTTAGAACCTGTGGTTTCTATAGATTAGTGATATGTAGATTTTACAAGTTATTCCATTTATATTTTTTAATCTCAATGGCTGCAGAAAACAGAAACTATAACTTTGGCAATAAAACAGCTGTTGCAGAGAGAGGTTTGTGCAGAAAAATCCGATGGTGCTATTGGCCGGTTGGAAGCTTACCAAGGGCAATGGAACCTTACTATACCACCTCCTTGGGAGGTCATTCCATGAGACCTCCTCACACTAAGATTATCTTAGGACCTCAAAAATATAAAATAAATATTTTGAGGTCGAATGACCTCACACTGAACTCATCTGCATCGTAAATATTTTGATGGCTAATCCCATGGAAAGTTTCCATTTAGGTTGTGCAGCCGCAGGCTTCAACTACGCAAAGTCAGTTTGTGCTTCAGACCTATGATCTACATATTGCCCAAACCTGGATGTTTGACAAAGTTTCCTCCATTTCGTTGCTGTGCTTCAGTGCAGGACAGATGCAGCTCAAGCTCTGTGGCCAGCTTTCCCTACTGTACGGCCGAGTGTGCGAAGAATACATGTGTTTACCAGACTAAATCTATCAAAACATAGGGAATGCCAAAGCTTTAAAAAATAACGATGGCTCCATCAGCTTTGTTTCCCACATATTTTGGATATCTTAAAAATATTTGCAACCTGTGAAAATTCTGCTCTGTGCTATTCACAATTAACTGGTATAGTTTGGAAAATAAAATATGTTCAGGTTGGGAATCGCATACAATCAAGAGAGATGCAACGTTATTCCTTTAGAATCTGATGGACTGTTTTTGTCTTATACCAGTTCTTACTCATTATAGGTGAAATTAAAATTTTGAAAAATGTAAATAAGCGGTTTGAGGAAAAACAAGGTTGTTTTTCTCAAAAGGCCTTGAGAAAAGCCCTGCCATTATTTTGAAAATATTTGGAAAATACTGACTCCTTTTTTTCTTGTCTCCCAAGGCCTTTGAGCAGTAGACGCAGTGTTCCAAGTTAAAAGGTGATTCTGTGTTGCCAATTAACTACACTCCATGCTTTCATTTCCTACTGAACGACTCTTCTCACGTTTTAGAGCCAAGATATACTGGGAGTATTTTGTTAAACTGTAACTTTGAATGGAAATATGACTTTTAGGTTATTTTTACAGGCAATCACCAATCTGAAGGAAACCGATCCTCCAGCACAACCTAAACTCTTGGAAAGTCACACGTGTCTGTCAGTAATTTTCACGGTGTGCTTTTTCTTCAGTAACAGCATTTTCACAAATGTGTACATTATTTACATAAACAAGCTGCATCATGGAAACACACTGGCTGTACTATGTTTGTCACCCTTTCTCATCCGCTCAGTTCTCTGTCTTTCTCTCCTTCTGTGATCTATATTCTCATCACATTCCTTATTTTAGCCATTCTTCTGAGATCCAAATCCTCTTTTCCACCGTGCGATAATGCATTAAATACACAAATTCACGGTCTGCTAATGACGTTTCTCCTCAGAGGTGATCATATTTTCTGACACACGTGGAGTCTGGCTTTGGAGGAGTAGGTGGCATCTTTCCACACTTTACAGGACAGGCCTTTCGCACAGTCACACCGCTGGAAAATTTCCAGCCCATGAGAACCCTTCTTGCGCTGTTTGGTGCAGACTTCCCCCTGATGGAGCACCGGTTTGCAGATTTTGGTCCAGAAGTGACGAGCACAGCAAAAGCCTTCAATGCAGTCTGAAGAGCGCAGGCAGGGGTCTCCTTCATGCCCTGCAGAGACGATGACCAAAAGATATTACCATGACACTTCAGAAAAAAATCCTACTTTGCAATCAGAAGCACATGAAATATTTTTACTTATACTATCTTCTATAATGTCACCATTTATAATGAAAAGTCTTGGATTCATATCAATTGGCTGTCCCTATAATCATGTAAATCCATTATTGTTTATTTCCATTATTTGCTGTCCGAATATCAAGTTTAACGAACAGCTAGGACTGTGCTTCTCTTTACTTTGTCATCGTCTGCATTTAGATATTTCCCTGATCATTATTGTGTGTTTTTTTTTTTTACTAGGTGAGTGAAAATAAGTAAATGAAAAGAATTGCTTTTAAATTAATTTGATACTTTCTTGGAAGGTGCAAACAAACTCTGATTCAAGAAGAAGGCTGAAACTCTCAGGGACTCCTAAGACCATGTATCAGTTAGAGTCTAGCCAGGAAGAGAGAAACCCTGAGTATTCAAAACAGAGAGTGGCAGGGCTAAGAAATACCAGAGGGTGGTAAAGTGGCACAGCAGGAAGCCACCACCACATGTAGGCTGGAGGATCCAAAGGAGCAGGTGATGCCAGAACCCAGGGGCTGGAATCACGGGCTGGGACTAGAAGCCCAACAGACCCACTGGCAGGAGCTGAAGCCCCAAGGAGATGGAGACACAGCTCTGCCAGAAATATTACCTGAGGCAGGGAGAATAAATGTTGGCTTTTTCCCTCTTCTGCCTCTCAGGCTCCCACCACAGCCAAAACCACCTGGCCAGAAGCCCCCTGACAGGGACTCCAGGAAATGCAGTCTATAAAGAGCTGTGACACAGGGCGGAGCAGAGAAAGGGCAGACAGCCCCAGGTCGACCAAGAACCCGTCATAAGAAACACGTGGAAGCACAAATCTGGGTATTTAATTCAGAAAAAAAGGATTAAGTCAGCAAAGGGCACCCAGAAAGAGGGAGTCAGCAAACTTCTCTGTCACGCACCAGGTTGTACATATTTTAGGCTTTTTAGACTGTATGATCTGTGTCACAACTCCCCAATTCTGCTGCTGTATTGCATCTACCGATATGCCTAAACTAACAGGCACGTCTGTGTTACAATAAAGCTTTATTTACAAAAACAGGCAGCAGGACAGACTTGGCTCAAAGGCCACAGTGTCCCAACCCTGCTCTAAAAGGCTGTCTGTCATCCCAGATGTCATCAATCTCACTGTGTGATGTGGACAGAACTCACTAGCCATTGAGATAAGATCTCTTTCTAGTTACCATCAGAATATTACACATGTAATTATATAAAAATAGCAAATTGGAAACTGTACTGTGGCACAGATATCTATTGGAATAAAGAAGGCTACTCATGTACTAACAAATGTGTGTGAATTTGGTGGACTAGAAATAGGAGATATGAGTAAAGAGCTTAGTCCCTCGGGGAGTGTAGACAAAGGATAATTGAAGATAATTGTCAGTCTCTCTGGCACTATCCATGTGACCATTAGTATTCCAGGTCAGACTAAGAGGTCAGATATTCTATAGGAACTAGCTCTGCAGAACATGAAAATGTGGGGAAACGGTCTTGTGGACAAGCAACCTGGGGAAATACAGTGTTCAAGAGAGTTAACCAGTTTTCCTCATTGCTGGACTTCTCAGAGCCTTCAACATACCAATGTTTATTATGAAGTTCCAAAAATGGGGAGATGCATTGTTACAAAACTCTTGAACACAAGGCACTTTTATTCACAGAATGTCTTGAAAGAGTAGTGCTACAGAGATTACACTTGCAAAAAGCCTCCTTTAAAAATGGAGATGTTTCATGCTTTTAAAATTTTACTATTAGTAATTAGGTTCAATAATTTCATAAGTTCAAATTTTACTATTAGTGATTAGGCTTCCCAAATATTTTGATACAAGGAAGGGGATTTTATAGCCATGCATAATTCCACTGGAAACCAATTATTTTTGTTAAGTTGGTTTATGAATCTAGTTGTTTATCTGGTTGTTTAGTGAAATAAAATTTCTGAATCTGCGAAGGTGAGAAAAATACTCAAAATCTTAGAGAGATAGTGACATGTCAGCAGACATTTTCCCATTTACTTTTCAGAGTGCTTTATGCTTTGATCTGTGACAGAAATGCTTGTATAGGAGATTTCTTCTAAATTCTGTGTAAAAAAGCAGGACTGTTTAGAAAATGGCATGCTTGATCAGGTGCTGCAAGTCTCATAATAGAGGTTTTCTAACAACTCAAGATCTCTAAGAAACATCTAGCATCCGCAAAATTAAGAATTAATAAATCAGGTGGCCGGCCCCGTGGCGTAGCAGTTAAGTGCACGCGCTCCACTGCTGGCGGCCCGGGTTTGGATCCTGGGCGCGCACCAACGCACTGCTTGTCAGGCCATGTTGTGGTGGCATCCCACATAAAGTGGAGGAAGATGGGCACAGATGTTAGCTCAGAGCCAGTCTTCCTTGGCAAAAATAGGAGGACTGGCATGGATGTTAGCTCAGGGCTGATCTTTCTCACAAAAAAAAAAAAAAAAAGAATTAATAAATCAGTTAAAATCTCACCATGAAAGTACCTCCCTTGTATTTTTTTCCTAAAACCAATAGAATTAATTGTCTGTATTTTTCTTTTACTTCTTTATAAAACAAGGAGACGTAAACATAGAACTACAGATATCACTACCTTTCATATGGGACATCTTAGCGTGTGGTCTTCCTAGGTTCTGCCATCCCAAGTCGTGGTTTGAGTAGTGACCATGGTTTCGATCTCTGTGCCGAGTGCCGTCCAAAGCCGGGATATGAGGGGTTAAGATGCTCTCGGTGACGGGGATACAGATGCCTGGAGATGGCCAGGTAAGCAGTTAGACTTAGTCAGTTCCATCAAATGTGGTTATTAGCCAAGTATGCTCCTGATGTGAGGTATGAAGCCACCTATCTATCATCTATCTATCCACCTATCTATCTATCATGTATCTCTTCATTCATCCATTCATGTATTTACAAATTTATTGAGACTGAGTATTTACTAGTTCAGCCCTGAGCCAGGCTTCTTTGATTTGAATCTTGTCTCTCTCAAGATCAAGTGACCCTGGGCAAAAGTAGGAAAAAAACAGAATTCATTTAGCTAAGTTATTGTGAATATGTGTGCAGTGCTTAGAATAGTGACACAGTACAGCATGTATTAAATTAATATTAGCTATTAGTGCTTTAAAATTGACCAGACATCCATTTTCAGGATCCATGTTCCTTTGTTCAACCAGCAACACAATCCTAGTCTATACCATAACTAGCCCTAATGGTATGAGTCTTCTTCCCATCAACACCTGTCCAAGGTACTCCCAGAAGGACTATGCCCAGAGGTCGGGAACAAGTATAGGAACATGAGGCTGATCGTGTTGTTTTCTGAGTGTATGTTTCTGATCACCTTCTGCAATTATTTAATGGTTTTACCATGTGTTGTCTTAGGTTCTTCATTTCATCATCAACACAGAATTTTCTGCCTACGAATTCATTGAGATTGGGTGAAGCCATGCTTATGGAAAGGCCGGAGAAGAGACTCCTGTTTCTCCTTTTGGTAGAACCCATCACTCACTCCATCAACATCTGAGTGTGCCACAAGGTGGGGCCTTTGAAGGAGGACACCTGAGTCTAAGAATCGAGGTGTGAAACTGGGCTGAAATTGGAAGACAGACTCACAACTGTGTGGCTAAATCACAGCAGTTTCCTTTCTTTTGTTCTTTTGCATGTATTCGCTTATGTGTTTAGTGGAACAGAACATCTAGTGATTATATGCAACACTTCCAAGGGACAAATCCTAGCTCAGCATAGATTACAAAATACAGAAGATGATCAGAGCCCAGGGGAACTAACATTTGGGGGGTAATCTTACCCATATCTAAATCATGATCCAATCCCTGCCAGCTGAGAAAGGCTCCTTACATTTCAGCGGTCTAAAGAGAATGTCGCCTAACTTGCTAGACAGGCATCCCACTTACAAAGGAAGAGGCCCGCCAGCGGCGCCGAGCGTGAACTTTACCGTTATTGCAGCGGGTGCCAGGACAGCACATGCCATCTCTGTGGCAACGCTTCTTCTTCCGTCGACACGCCATGCAGGCCGACGATCCCTGGTGGGGACTGTGGCAGTATCTCCCAACTTCACATTCCTTATCGCTGCTGCAGGGGTAGGCCTGTCAGGAAGTGGGACAACAACACCAAAAGCAAAGTAGATTAGACCCTGTAACACTTAACGAAAAGCGACTGCAGTAAATCATGATGGAAAATACGTCCCTCCTCAAAGGAAGGACACCATTGTAATAATGTTCTACGTAGTGACACTGACTTAACTGAGAACCTATAAATACTGATTGTTGATGGTGACAACGATGAAGTTGACACTCCATATATTTTCATCGACACACGATGTTAGGATTCAGACTTTGTATTGATTGGGGTGCTCAGAAACAGTCTTAGTTGTTGTATTGTCACTGATTTAAGGTGTAAATGAAACAGCCTCGCCACTCTGTGGTTCATCTGCTGAACTAGGATGAGGGGAGGGTTAAATAAAACCACTAAGGCCGTGCTAGAAGCTAAAACACATCTTCTGCCCAATTATGGAACAAATATTTTAAGAGTGACTCCTCACAATTCCTGCCTCTGAGGAGCAAAGAGGGGAACCACTTCCAGAACAGTTTGAGGCAATGAACTGTTTGGCACAAAGAAATCAAGGAGCGGTGTCCTCGTTCTAAACTCGGGAAGGAGCATCAGCAGAGTTCTGAGTGGTCAGAGAGATGCTAAACTCCAGTTACATCATCGTGTTCTTGGGCAACGAAACAACAGGCTCCTTACACACAAAAATAGTCCTACAGGCTGCTGCACCCTCAATTTATACAGAAGGGGCTTCCGTTGATACATTTCTCCGCCACGTGTATGTTCAGAAGGCTACATAAGCATGTCATATATTATCTCAAAAAATAAAAATATAGTCTCCAGTTTTGTACTCCTTGCCTCTTGGAAGTTATTGGAACACTTAAAATGTCCCTGTTTTCAGAGACTGAGATGTGAGAAGCTGAGATGTCACAGCACACCTCAAACTTACTCCTATTTTGAGGGATATTGACAGGGAGACTTATTTGTGAGTCTTTTTGTTCTTTTTGTAGTTCTTTTTTTTCTGATTTTCAGAGTAATACTTGGTTATTCATTTAATTGAAATACACAATAAATAAAAAGAAGCTATGTAGTTGTTTTTAAGCAAGTATAAATGATATAAAGATAAAACTACAGGATAAAATTTTTGTGACTCAAATCATTAGTGTGGTTTGAGTGTTTTACTTATGAAATGAGGTTTAAGGGCCTAACTCTGTGTGCATTTCTTATTCCTTCCCCTTCTCTCTCTCTCTGTTTCCTCCATAGCCCCCCTCCTCCCGCACGTGTTGTATACATTCAACCCCCATGTGTTTTCCATTTAGATCTGATCGTCTTCAGTTAGAAAGGGGAAATAAATATGAAGCTGACGTATGAGGCTGGAAACTTTACATGCTGTTCTATGGGAAAAAATATACTTTCAGCATCATTACAAAAAAAAAAAATAGAAAAACCACTAACTTCAAATTGAAAGTGCTTTTGAAGGATTGCACAGTGGCAATGTTTGATGTGTACATTATAATTGGAGCCAGATAAAGCTATAAAATGAACTTGCATATTACTGTCCCATTCTGGAACTCCGTCATTAGGTTTAAGAGAGAATGAGGTTGAATTCAGAGTATTAGGCCATTTTTCAAGAATGCAATACTGATGAAAACACATCCCGCCTTGCCACACTCCTTCCCCCAAGCACTTCTCTTCCTTTGTATTTGAACCCATTAATTTTAAATGAAATACAATTCACATGTTTCTGATTCATTAACATTTATTTCATCAAATTGTTTTGCAAGAAACATTTGATGTCTTACAAGTCTTTTTCCTTCCTCAAAAATAGGACATGTTCCTTCAACAGAAATAAACACATGCCACCCAAAATATCATGTGCAATTTACAACTCAAACAACAACAACTCAAATCTTTAAGGGATTTGAATTTAGAATGATATTTGATTCCATTCCTAAAAAAATAGTCTATATGGTAGAAAGAAAATTGTTTGCTAAAAGTAGCAGTTCATATATGCAGAAAATTGTGGAAGGCACATCATCATCTTTCCATTCTCAGTCGATGGGAAATGGAAAATATTGAAATGGAAAATACTTGAAATGGAAAATATTTGATGCAGATGTTATCACAAAAAGTAATATACACAGTAGTCCTCTATTTGAATGGGATTATGGTAAAATTCTCAGTTTTTTCAGAGGGGAGCTCATTTGTCTAAGAGAGAAAATATGTGGGAGGATATGTAGTTTTATTATGTTCCAACATATCTTTTAATTGGCTTGAAATAGAAATGACGCAAGCAGAAAAGGTAGGCAGGATATATGTATATATATTTTTTTTTGTGTGAGGAAGATCAGCACTGAGCTAACATCTGCCAATCCTCCTCTTTTTGCTGAGGAAGATTGGCCCTGGGCTAACATCCATGCCCATCCTCCTCCACTTTATATGGGAAGCGGCCACAGCATGGCTCTACAAGCAGTTCGTCGGTGTGCGCCCGGGATCCAAACCGACGAATCCCAGGCCACTGCAGCAGAGTGCGCGCACTTAACTGCTTGCTCCACCGGGCAGGGCCAGGAAATATTTTTTAATGGAAGGTTATTGTTAACGTGAACTTGTACTTAGAATAGAATCCCAGAACATAATATTAAGAGGAATTCTTTAACAATTAAAAACATAAATTTTAATAATTGAAATGCGAGGTTATATTACACAGCTCCTAGTATGCTTATGAAACCCTTGGCTCCAAGAAACAGCCTTTATATATGAATCAAATCAACTAAGGATGAGAGAAATTGATGGAAGCAGGTTGTAGGGAAAGTGAGTGATATTTGGGGGCATGCCTTACCTTCTGAAATCCATGTCCCCCAGCAAGGATCTACTCAGCCATAAGGTTTCCCAGCCATAACCATTAGCAAGAAAACACAGAACATAAGAAAATATGGATTTGATCCATTAATAACAATTCTCGTGTTTTCAGCCTAATGCATTATTTTTGAGGAAAGAGTTTTAAACAAGGCATTTTCAACTAGAGCATGAGGGCTCTGCGGCTTGCTATTGTTTTTTCCCTACATTAACTGCTTTAACGTTTCCGGAAATGGTGTCATAGTAGAGGAGAAAGGGAGGGAGGGAGGGGTGGAGAGACAGAAGCACTTGGTTAAAGTAGTTATGGAGGGTCCTGAAGAAGTGACGACTACGGCAATCAGCAGACCACTGGAGGAAATTACATCCATTAAAAAAGTGCCATCCAGACACCGTCCCATGGAAGATCTTTATTTTGGCCTCCAAAGGCTCTTCCTGTCCCATTTGATGATAGTTTTGTGACAAACAAAAAGTGAATTTGAGTAGCTTAGTCTAAGTTTCCATTTAACAAAAACAATGATATGTTTCCCTGGTACTTATTTTATAAATGAATAAAAAGACTGATTTTTTTTTTATCTGCTTTGGAAATTATTAACTGTGGATTTTTATGGCTCTTCATTTACTTGACTTCAAGTGAACAGTCTGAGGAGCAGTGATAGTCAGTGTGGAAACCGGGAACCAAGTGAAAGAATCAGGGAGAAACCTTAGTACGCCCAACCCGTACTGAAATGTTCCAAACCGAATCAGAAACCCGGCCTTGTGAGCATCCAGGACTGCTTGCCTTCGTGCAGAACCATTCATGACTTAGCCTCAGTCACAACCAGGAGATGAATTCATCTGAGACATCAAATCATAGCAGATGATGGGCCATAAATGAAGAATGTGTGAGAATCATCCATGATTAAGCCAACAAACAAAGGAATTGTGCCCAGTCCACTTTCTAGGCTAAAAAATAGAGAGCTTTCCATGAATAGCAGAGCCAGTTATCATTACAACCCTGACATGAACTAAAAAAAGAATGAACACATTGGACAAAGCTTGAAAATAAAGTCTATCAGAAATGAGCATTTCTTTTTAGTATAAAGCATTTTCTTTTTAAGTCCATTTACTCTGTGCTAATTTGGAATCATTATTTACAATTTTAGGAATGAAGTGAAGAGAGGTTAAGTAACTTCTGCAAATGTCACATGTGCCCAGCGGCAGGGAACTCGGGGATCCGGAGCCCTGCCTGGCTGCCAGGCCTCACTGCAAGGTGTCGAAGAGAAAGTAACAGTGATTGTTTCACGCACTCACAGAGAAGGCCTCTGCTTGGTGACCTCGTGCTGAATTTACAGATTAGAAAAGCCAACTTGGCCTCTTCTCTTTCTAGAAGCCTCCAAATACCAGCAGCACGTCCTGCTGCAGCTGCTGGAAAGACAAGAACAACCGCGGAAAACACCGACAAGACTGTAAACAGCATTTTCTCATTCCATTTCTTGACCACAGTTCCATGTTCACTTAAACTCAATGTAATCAGAGTTATAAGCAAAAGCCAATCGTGCAAATCATGATAATTAAACAATATTCTAATGAACAAAATAAAAGGAAATGTAACTGTGTCTTATTTGAACTGAGGCTTTTTTTTTTTTTTTCAGTTATTCTCAAAACTGCAGGGAGAAAAGGCCTATTAATTCAAGACTTAGATTTAGGTTAGAATTATTCTTTTTCTTCAGTTACTGCCCATCCCTTAGAACATGCAAATGCAGCAAGGAAGTAATCACCTCCCTAAGAAAAAGGAAAGGAGGAAAAGTGTTTCTGGTCTCGCAGCAGCACTAACTACTGAACAGACCTTTGGTCACAACTAAATCCTTGGTTTAACTCCAAAGTTTTCAAATAATGACTTTGTTCCTGTTTAATGATGGCGGGGTGGGGAAGAAGAGAGAAACATACAAAAGTGTTCATGTGGGAAGGCCACCCATCCAGATTCTTGCAAGACCGGCCCAGTTTTGTTACTGTTTTAATAGGGACAATCCTTTGGCCCCACCAGCACTGTTTGTAACAATCTCGGAAGTTTTCTGGAGCCAAAAAATCGTCATCAGCTGGAGAGGCAGGAGAAAGCCTGCAGGGGGAAGACACAGCTGTGGGAATGAAGAACATTTGGGGCAAGTGGACAGAGGGAGAGAGGTGGCAGCACAGGGCTTGGGACCAG